CGCCACTGATGAAATATCGCCCTTCGTCTGAAAATAAGTAGAAAACAATAAGAAATAGAAGTTCTTATTAAACATTGATATAACAATAGCTAACGGTTTTGTCTGTTGATGGAAATTTTGTTGAAAATTGTTCTTCAAATAAAGACGTATTTAAATAAGCTATTAAAAGTGTTATTTCATATATTTATAAAATATTAACTTCTCAGCTGTCACCATCTTATATTTTACTAGATAGCTACACAGATACAGCTAGACAGATAAAAAATCTTATAGTAAATAGCCAGTACTCTCGGAGTTTAGAGTGTACAAGCAGATAGACATATAGTATTTTTTAGTACTCTGTTACTATGTCTATTTTGCCTACACTAATTTATTTACCTGAGAGACATTGAAATTTGTGAACTATAGTGTACCTACCTTTGCAGTTGAATTGAAGCCCACGGCCTGAAAAAGTGTGTTTCTTAAAAATTGTGTTTTAATCAATGCCTAAAAACTTTACTTCCTTTATTACATTATTTGTAGATATGACTACATAACAGGTCTGTAAGATATGTTGAAAAAAGCCGGACTGAGTTTCTTGGGTGTGCTTCTCGGTTGTGTTGCTCTTTTAAACACTCTGTAGAATCACGACGAACGAACAGACAAACATATTATTTAATATTTTTTGCTGAATCTAAATAATTTTTATAATTTTATAGAGATTAAAGTATATTTTATTTTATTTTGATGGAAGGTAAATTATTCCAACCATATAACATCTATGTATGTTGCGCTGTCGACCTATTTGGGCTTAGGATATTTACAAATTCACAGACTGAACCCGAAACGCGAGTAATCTTCACAGCTTTTTCATCTGTGGACAATGGTTCGTAATACGGACGGAATGTTAATAATCTTATCAGCCATTAAATGTCCATATTTCCAGTCAAAGGCCACCACAATTCAGAAAAATAATAATTGATTAATATACATGCTGGACCTAGTGGGGACCTAATCTAAGACTCGTTGATTATTATCTATATATTGCTACCATTACACATTTAAAAAATTACCAAGGCGGTGGACATGCTTCCATAACACTATAAGAAAATATTTACTGTTTAAAATTATTTAGCTCTATAGACATTCCAATAAATAATAAGAAAGACGGTCAATAGATTTAACGAAAAAAAATTGACGTGACTAAAAAAAATACTTACATAAGAACGACAATCGTTTCCTTTACACTGAAAGTATATTATTTGTTTTAGAGTCTCAAATATATTAGATGTTTTTATTTCCCTATCGGAACTTTTATTAAGGTCCTAACTTCTAGAGCTTATGTTGCTTTACTCTCAAACTTTTTAAGAGGTTATTTGGAACTTACACATATAATTCAAAAATCGAAAATCAATTTAAAAAAATTTCGACTCGGGCACATATTCTACGCATTGTTTTAACGACAAACGACGTATGAGTTTCTTAATTTGAATAACATATTGGAGAACAACTCAGGTTACCGTAGGAAAAGCAATTGAATTGTCTTCCACCTTCCTGGAATATTACTGTCTAACTTTACATAGTGTGATGTAGGTATAGCGTGCTAAAAAGCAGCTGACTTCTTTTACTAAATCTTAGTGCGGACCGTAGTCGTGTGATTATTCGCCTCTACGGAGTGCACCAGTCCATAGCATAGTATACACACTAAGACAACGGTAGCAGAGCGGTTCTCCATATTCCAATGAAGTCAGTTTAAGGCTAGCTTATTCAAGATGTGTATAGTAGCGAGTGCGTAAGTACGGCTTAAAACGGGAAATATATTACTTTCATTTACGTTTACTTTTCAGTTTATTTTAACTACGACCCAATGTTTCGAATACTCACTTTAGCAGCACAATTTCGTTTCATCTATAAAAAAGCATGTTATAAACGAAGTTGTAATTTCTGTATTGGAAGTTCTTTGGAATCATTTGATTAAATATGGTTAAAGGTTTTTTTTATAATCGAAATATTTCGGTCACTTTGATCATTTAAATCACACTAGGCTATTTCGGAATTCGGTGAATTAATATGTTGTAATAATAGATACATACCGTTCCAAACTCATCTACGCAGATGTTAATTGTGATAAAAGATACCTGTTAACATAAGAACAGCGTATATAGGAGTTACTTCTCACCGCGTCGTCCACGTCTTTCTTGTGAGTCAATCTTAACAGTTCGTAATCGTAACAATTTACTGTCGCGGACATATTTTTAGACCATTTTAGGGATTCCGTTGCGAAGGCTTTGAAAACGGTTCAAGAAACCAAACAATATGTAAGAAAAAAATATTCCTTATTCAAAAATCTAAATTTAATTTAATTTAGTAGTCCGAGGATTTTCTAACTCTTTGTTTCGTAAATTATTAAGATTAACTTGCAAGAACGACGTGGTCCGCGGGTGCAGCTAGTTAAATAAGATCGCAGTTAACCGTTTAAAAGTGTGATTTCGTTTGTTTTAAGCGGCTATATTTATATTTAACGGACCATCATCTGTCGGTTTTTAAACAGCCTGACAGCGTGGTCATATAATAATAAATAAGTAATGGGGTTCATACCCTTTGCTGAAACATGACAAGATAAACATTTACCACAATCAAAAAGATAGTTAAATGAGCTGGAAGCGCTGGGATCGGCGTCATCGCGCTGACTGCACCAGCTCAGGCCGTAGCCTAACTAATTTCTGATTATCATTCCATTTCTAGATTTTACGCTTAACTTGATTATTGTATGTGCGCCACAGTGTTATTGTGTAGATGATTTTCATGTTCTTTTATCCCTGATATTTGGTTAATATTTTACATAACTGTGATTGTTAACGGAATGCCATCATGTAAGTGTTGATTTAAATGTATATTTTATATGTATAGTTTTTTTTATTTTATTGCAATCACCTAGTTTGAATATAATCTCCGCACCCCGTGTAAGAAATTAGCGGTCACATTTAAGTATATGTCTACGATTGTATTAACAGGAAAATCTGTAAATATTCGTAATAGTAGTCTCCTAAGTTTCCTTTTGTTTTTTCTGGATTCGAACTCAAGATTTACGTTTAACTATTGTGATAATGTGGTGTCACGAAGAAATAAAAAATGTTTATTTTGTGTGGTCTTTATTAATCGAATTGCATTTTAATTACGCCAGGTGGCGCCTCCGAGATTTACAATATTAAACGTAGTGATTTGATTTTATTAAATAGATACAATCTTATTAGGACGAGAGCACAGCAGCTGAAATAAATCTATGAATTCACAAGTTGCCTTAAACTTACAAAATTTTCTTTGGCCACTTCCTAGATAAAAGTAATTTATTTTTGAAATGCATATTATGATTATGAGGCCAAATAAAAAGAGAACTTTAATATTTTCTTTAATATATATATAGTGTTAATCATTATCATTATTTTCCTCGATATACTGTTGACTATTTTAATTGTAAACTGTAAAACGGAAATTACGAATAAGAATTTTTCTACCAAGCCATTCTCGCTCTATCGTCCCGAAATATGCTCAACTACTCAATATATTATATCATATTATCAGATTAACATTATTATAAACCTCTATTATAAAGTTTACATTACAATCGTCTCGCTTTAATTGCGTATTTGTGCAGAAACAATATAAACAAACTTTGTGCATGCTATTAATAAAAATTGTTTATCATATTATTATTCAATTCATAGACAAAAGAACTATATAACCACTTATGTACTGGCCTTAAAAAGAAAAAAAAGATTATATTAAGAACACATTTATGAAATCATAACGTTTCTCATGTACACAGTAAAGTATAGTAATCGCCGTTGAACGCCAGAGATAACGCTTTTGTAGAAGATCTGGTTCTAAGTCATTTACAAGTGATACAATCTGGCTACATTTCTATGACTATTGCAATAAACTATATGCCCTTATCAGTGTAATTGGGAAATTAGATTATAGTAATAAGGAATCGTGATCCTGACCAAAAAAATATAATGCGCGCCTAATTTGATTGTCATCGTGTTATAAGTTCGATAGAATCGCGAGTACAAACAGAAAGTCACGAGACTTATAAGTAGTCCACTTAGAAAAGATCCGCTAAATATGAATAGGATAGCGCTTTAGTTACCTTTCCGGTACTAAAGTTGAACACCACTCTCAATTTTAGTAGATTCTGGTTCAACAACAGTCTTTAAACCGGGTTGTCAAGCACACAAGTAGAAGCTGCTTAATGACTTGGCTCAAAATATTCTAATAAAAAATGTTAAACAATATGAAGCAAATTGCAATCGGTAATTTTTTTTATTTTTTATTACCGGAACAAGCAATGAAAATAACCTCTGGCTATTTTTGAACGGGGACACTAAAGACAGTGGGCTGCTATCTAAGTTATTCTTAAATATTTCTTCATCGCTATCGCTATGCTTACAGCGGACGCGTCTTAATAGTAATAGCTAAGTAGAGATGATATTTACAGATTTATAAGTTAGAGACGTGGGGGTAGGTGAAGCGAATATGTACAGCCTCATGCCGACGTTCCATCCCCCTACCACTAACTACCTAGTTGATCCCGCTGACATACACATGCCATCGCCGTTGTTACTCCAAACCATTGTCACTCACTAAATGTCTCTCGGATGCTGCGATTTATGCAGAACTCCAGGTGGAGACGCTCGACTTTCCCACGCGAAGAACGAAATTATAAATGAATAGATGCTTTGAGGGTAGATTTAGACAACTATGATATACAGGTATAATAAACCCTGCTTTCAAACATCTATTAAACAACGTCTGATGTAAATTATACATATAAACATACAGAACACTCAGATTGTAATAAAAAGTGCTAAGTGCAATCTACGACATAGAGTATAATACTGATATGTCCGATAAACATAGAATAAACAATGACAATTCAATCATCCGTAGGAGTTGCTGCATAATCGCTAGTGGCTCTTTTTACGCCGATATCGGAGTCTGCGCCCCCACATCAGGTTATATCATACGATGGTACCCTGCAGCTGTAGTGGGTCTGGGGAGGAAGGCCTTGGCGAAGGCAGAGCGGCCGCCAGCTCCTGATATCCGCTGAAGCCTAACTCTGGGGGGTTCTCATCTGGAGGGGTCACCTCCAGCCCGATGCTACCATTTAGAGCTATCTTGATCGCTTCAGCGTTCTGTTGCTGTTGTTGTTGCTGATGCTGCAGCAGAGAGTTAAAGTGGGTAATTCCAATTTCTTCGAGGCTGCTCTTTCGCCGCTGCGAGGTGACACCTAAACCTTGTCGTAGTGAACTCGACCGGCGCAGGAGCGCGTCATCGACAACACGAAGTGAATTCGAGCGAGCACGGAAATCGGTGAGGATTGTGGGGCTGTCGGGGAGTGACAGCGAGTTTGCTTTGGTCGTGGAAAGGGGAGGAGCGCGGATCGCGAGACTTGGCAACCCCGCTAGAGCTGAGCCACGTCGGCTGCCACCACCGACTAGAGCGCTAGAGCAAAAGCTGATGTTGGACTTGCGTCTGCTATTGTGACGCTCAAATGTCTTCTGTGCTGAGAATGGAGACGGTCGAACCAGATATCTGTAAGGTTAAATTGAACGTTTATTATAATTACAAACAAACAGACTTAAAAGAAATTATTTATAATTGACCTGTCTAAACCCCGAAATACTCACATTATATCGCCCTCCTGCAGATTAAGGTCACAGCTCGGGTTGATGATAACATAAGATAGACTATTGCGTTTCTCGCTGACGTCATCATAGTCTATCCCGCTTAGATTAAGAGACTCCATGCGAGACCGCACTAAGTTCGCAATTTCAGCCCTTTCGATTTGCTGCGCGTGATTGTCCCGTGCTTCGTCAGCTAAACTCGCCGAATACTGCGAACAACCCGGGATTCAAATATTCTGTTAAGTTTCAGGTATATTTTATGTGTATCCAAATTGTACTAAATTCTGCTACTTCTAAACGCTTAAAGGTTCGGTTAGTACTGACGGCCCCAGGCCAAAATACGTAATAATTACTTTTTAATATTAATAATAGTAATAATAATGTGCTTGAGCCGAAGTGTAAGAATCTTATACTGGAAATTAACTGCTGTTCGCAGAAATAGTGCAAATTTTAAGAAAACACTTTTGACTATTTAAAAAGCGAAACCCCCTTCCAAAAAATCAGCTGAAGCAAAGTATCCGAAACTCGGTTCGTAATAAAAACTTTTTTTTTCGGATTTTACACGATAAAAACTTTTATCAATTATTACCGCAATGTTAATTGCATTATATTGTTTAAAATTAATACTCGACTATGAATTATGTTGTAAACTTCCAAGGCAATTTGGATACACATTAAAATATTATTTTGTATATGGGCATACGCAGATTTTAAAATTCGACTAAGTTTCTTTAGTTAATAAACATTCTTTTACCATAGGAGTTACCTAGGATTATTTGAAATTATATGTACAAACTAATGTGTGTTGATCCATTATAACTAGAAGTGTTTGTTTGTATGGATTATACACACACACACACTCTATTTTCTTCTTTTATGTACTCTTTGCCTTGTTTGCGTATGCCCATATTTAATAACAGTGTATGGTGTGTGAACAAAAGGTGCTCACACATTATTGTAGTGTAATCATGCACGGCTTTTGAGTGACGCCATCTTGTGCTAAAATTAGTGCGAACGTTTTGTCAGTGTTCTAAATTCTAAATGGTCCAAAAGCACAGTCACTTTAGTTTTGACTAAACTGACTGTAATGTACAGATGAATCGATATATACAAAGTTTCGGGAAATAAAATTAATAAAAATTCACTTGAATCAAAGGGACTGAACCGACGAGTACTGGGTTCAATCCCCATATCTAAATTATTTTTTTAAATGTGTTTTGAAATGCGAAAGTACCTGGAAAGCATGTACGCTACCTTATACCAAAGGGAAGATGAACTTTACCCCTGTCTTCAGACGGCTACAATAGACATCTCAAAATTATACGAATTATGTTCTGAGTATTAACGTTAATTCTACATAATTTTATAAAATGTCTTAAGATTTTTTTTTAATGTATTGCTTCCATATTAGCGACGACACGGAGCGAGATCATAAATTGGAAGTTAACATTTACTCGTGACGCGCATGAGCGAGCTGGACAGATACATTCGATTTAGAGACAAAACACAATCAGTTGTTTTTTATAACAAAAAAGGATAAACAAACATTCGATTAACTTGATAGAAGTTGTTATACCTCAAGCTTATACCATCTCAATAAGATTCACTGTCGAACTGTGGACGGTGGATCGTGACAAACGAATGTGAGATATTCTTACCATCAATTTAATTTACAGTTTCCAAACGAAGGTTCATCCGATGGAGATCGAACCCCCGACTTATTGACTTTAAACAATACATTGCGAAGTTATATAATAGAATAAAACTTATACCTTACTTAAATTGATCTATCAATTTAAGTAAGGTATAAGTTTTATTTTTAATCTATGGTTAATTAGGGTCTATTATTGAAAAATATATTGTTCAATAACTATTCAATTGTAACATGAATATTTTTAACAAATATAATATCAGAATCAAAGCAATAAAATAATCGCAAACCAAAATATTAAAACTTTGTATTTCGATTCGTTCGTTTCACGCAATACACGTGCGGTCTATCACTAGCTATCGTCTAAAGCCTGTTAAATGACTTCAAATCGACTAATCTCAACTATTTATAAATTAAATGATCGAGTACCTGCAACATGTCCCGTCCTACTTAGCCTCGAAGCGGATTACTCAGAAAAAAATATATCTCACAAGCAGATGTACCATACCATTTTTAATACAGCGAGTCTACATTTTCTTACAGCAATGTGCAATTGTGTTATTCGAAACAATCATAATAATTGGAAAATCTTCTTTGTTAAATAATATTAAAAAAAAACTCTATTTGATAAGTAAAATAAAACATATTTTTAATTACCGGTAAAAACCTAAAACCAAATTTTGAAATATAGCCTAGGACAAAGAATTAATTTTCAGTTTACTAATGATAAATAACTTTTATAGTAAAGTTCTATCGTTCTATAACACATCTGGTTGAAGATATTGGTCAACGGTCTTCTTCGACCTGGCTGTGTAATGGAGAGCGCTTACCGCCGGCGTGCGATCGCCATAGCAGCCCGAGAGGCACCCAGGGGGGGAGCGACAGCTGGCCGAACGCGCCCCCCGCCTCTCCGAACTCGCCCCGCTCTCGCCCTGCTGCAACTAGCTGTTCACACTTCTGCCATATACACACACCTACACTATGTACACACACCCTCACACTCTCTCACACATTAATAAAACCATCTCAAGAGAAACGCTTCTGGCTCATGCTTCAATAGACACTTAATTAATGATGTTCGAATTCTAAGTTGCTCTCATTAGTTCTAATTCGTCCCAGTAAGACATGCAAGCGTTGCCTACCTACAACGTAAACATGCACCAAAAACAAAATACTACATCTGTCAACGATCAATTTGTACGCTGTTAGCGTTGGGTTAGGATTCAAGTCTCCAGCCAATGTTTGATTAGTTTGCTTGCACATATATAATATTTGTTGACAGTAAATGAGGACATAAGGCATGCAAGAGCGCTAAAGAGCGACCAGCTGCGAGCGGCGAGCGGAGGGACTGCGATCATCACTCTTGTCAAGACGCGAACGCGGCGCTACTGCTCCGTATCCCGATCAATTAATTTAGTGTCAACGCAAAAGCAATAGAATTCACTCAGACTGGCTGGTAGCGGTTTGCAATAAAATTCAATTTAAAAAAATGAAGCTCGTGTACTCCATAAAAAAGTTGATTAGTGTAAGATAGAAATCTTTACAAAAAAACTAATTACACAAACGGCACAAGTGTAGGCTCGGTTAGATAATTTGATGATAGTGTGCCCCGCTTACGAGTAAAAGATTAAAAAATTAGATCGAAAAAAAACCCGAAACACAGTCCAAGGGTGGAGACAATACAGATGTATTGTACAGAGATGATGGGTGATAGAGAAACAAAGGTAAAGTAGGACTGTATTTTAGGAGGAGTGACTCACCGATGCTCGCGATGGTCGCATTCCCGTGAGCCGTGACCATAACCAACTTGGCGAGCCCCGTGGTGACATACTCACGTGGTGCGAAGGGTCGGCCAGGCTAGTGTCCTGGGTACGATAAATCCCGATCGGGATTTCGCACGAGGTCGAACACAATTTTTGGTAAAGCCGACCATATGTACGGATCCACATGTCCTCCTTCGTTATTTTCATCTGACAATCCAGAAACACTTCAATTATAGGCATATAATAAACATAATCAGTCGCAAAGTCGCATTGAAACCGCGCAGCTTGATGGTGGTGAATGAAATGGTGATGATGTATGCAATCGCAGTGCATGAGGGTAGTCTTACAGAGGTAAGGAATCCGGATCCTGGCGCCTGGTCGACCCCAAGGAGGAGACGCACAAACGTGATAACGTAGTCCTTTACGAAGGCTTGGTAGAGCAGGGTGTCCAGCATAGACGCGGAGAAAACAGAGCCGGCAGCAAAAGGCAGACGGAACATATAAGAAATATGTGAGCCTCGTTCTTTCTCCCTCTGAAAAATTGACAGTAATTTAGCGTAAGGTCGGGGATAGACTATGATACTAGACAAGATAGAGAACATAATTTATTATTGGTACAACTGTTTCAAAGTAACTTGTGATATAATAGTAAAGGACATATATCTTGTAGAATTAGAAAACTTTAAAGGACGTACCTTCTCCATCTTGGAAAGATGCAGAGCATATTTATCGTGAGCCCGGAATTGCATGAAACGCATATTAGACGACTGCGATAGTTCCGTGATGGATCTTATTGATGGAAAGAATCTGGAAGGATTACAATAACACTAACATCACTTAAACCATACTCGATCAGCATATAAAAGTTCGCCACGCTATTTCGCAGAGAGAGCATTACATCTGTAATAGTATGAAAAGGCCCATTTGAGGTTACAGCAGACAGATAAATATTAGATTAAAAATATTATAACCTAGTAACACAGAATTTTAATAAATATTTTTGGTCTCAGACACACAAGGACTAGGCATTCCCATTTACAATAAAAATTACTTGAACATAGTCTGCACAGCAACAATAGTATTGCAATCAGATAGACTGTCCTCTTCAGCGGAATTCGACAGTTCCTTATTAACCACCACTACGTTTTCAGCAAGTGTGATACCAGCTCGCAAAAGGTCGTCTAATCTGTAATTACAAATGAGATAGATATTAATAACTGCTAATACAGAAGTTGGTTTAACCTATTAATGTACCACAGGGTCTGCACCGAGGTTTCCTCTCTCATAGGAAAAAAGGTTTAGCTTAAACTTCAGAGCTGGCTGTTAGATTTTACGATGACCGACTTAAGTCTGTGTCTGTATGTGTTTTTGTATGTACAATTACAGAGTAGACCAAAAATACTTACGAATCAATAGATCCCATCATCCAGTAGACCAGGGGGAAATAGGAAATAGCATCCAGAAACGCTATATCTGGTCTTCGCTCCAACAATAGTATTATTGGATTGAGGGACGTTTTAGTCCTGAAGTGAGCCCGAAGGGGAATAATAAAGTTATATATTCCGTTTGATGCGTAGTCGGCTGCTAGGATTATTGTTTTGTTCTGCCATTGATATTCTTTGGCGTTCCGGTACGCGCAGTGTTCACATACTTGGGCAAGCTGGATACAATAAACATATGATAATTTGTAGGTATACATATTTTGACCGTCTTCGCTCTTTGCCTCTATAGGTAGCGAAGAGCGTTGTGTTAAATGCAAGGAAGGGGCAGTGCATAATGGAGCAACAGTTTACGAGCCTACCCTGTTACTATGCCATCATAGGTGTTATTGCTATATGACCCCCCTTAAATATTTTTTAGTATTATTTTTATTTTTCGCGGTTCTTGTGATACACTCCAGTGATACAGACTACGGTCTATTTGGTCAAGGATTGGGAATCCAAAAAAGCTAACATAATACTGACATCACCGATGAAAACATATTTTAGAACTTAAGCTCGAATGAAAAGTAGCATACCTGAAGACAGCATAAAGGCTTCTTCTCCTTTAGCAAGTAACACAGCGTAGGACTGACTCCAATAAACGGCGACACCGGCGGGAATCCCTTCACGATCCTAACCATTCAAAATTAACTTTTTAATAATACATCGATAAATATAATCATTTTTCGAAAGCGGAAGCTAAGCTCAGTGTATATTTCAAAAATATTCAAAAGTGAAAGTTTAAAAATAGAATGTGATTAAGAACTAATTAAAAGTGCTCTGTGGTCTGCACCATGGGCGGAAGCAGGTTTGACAATTAACACGGTCAAATGTAGGACTGTCTGCCATATAATATTAATTAAATTTTATTTTCGCTACGTCACGAAAGAGGAAAAAGGTAAATTAAGTACCAGTGTTTTAAATTAACGTACATAATAAAAAGATAACGTATGAAGTATGTTATCCTTGTTTTTACATATCGAGAGGATCTTTTCACTTAGAATGTAGAGAACCTCTTTGTGTACTGAATAATTATAAAGTGCCCATTTTCTCCTCTGTTTCCCCTGCGTACATCCATGGCTTCGCATGCGCGACGTTACAGTAACCGGTTAGTGTTCACATCCTCGGGTTACTGTCGCCCGACTGCTCGTCGTCCCTCACCTGATAAAGTCACTGCGCCAAGCGGAATGCGCGTCGCACTGGTAGTTCCCCAGGGAAGATAGCGAGCTGGTGGAGTCGTCGACACTGCACCAGGACATTGGGACAGACGCAGGGTCAAGGCTTTACATTGGCCGGGATTACAACACATTCCTATCAGCTAACACAGACACCGCGCACTATCTCATGAAACATATCTATTTACATTCATTGCCCAAGGGTGGAGCTAGATGTACATATGGAGGGGGCACTTTCTGAGAGGTGACTGCCAATTTTACATAGCTTTACAGGCAAAAAATGAACATCAAATATTAACATTTGTAATCAAATATTTAGCATGGTGACACGACAAGGAAATAGCTAATTAAAATAAGGTCACAATTAATAACTTTTAACGTATAAAAATATCTAACAGTATTATTAAAATCTCAGGTATTTTAAATAATCGAGGACTGAAAGATTTATATTACAGTAAACTTATGGCCTGTAATGAGCACTCCATTTGGTTTCTGGCTTCACCCTTAGACCTATATTTATTGTATATATTCGAATAATTACACCCTTATCAGGAAATTGAGAAACCAATTTTTAATTCATGCATTTGAGATGAAGTTATGAAATAAGCTAAGCTTAATAATGTTCTAACGTAAGATAAGGTGCGTGAGATACATGCTCTGTGCTGCGCCATTACTTGAACACTGTCGACTGCAAGATATAGTTAATGCTGGAACAATGGAATAATGAAATGTATAGAGCTCCAGCCTTCGCTTAGCCAAGTATCGCTCATGACGTCATGACATGACGTCCACTTGTGACGACGAAACGATAGTAAGTCTATGGCCAATGTTTAAGATTCAAAATAAATTTGTAAACATGTTCCATTTTTGTAACTACAGGTTAAATAGAATTTCCATCATCCCAACTGTGTATCATCTGTCAAGCATGTTGTCCTCCAAGGAAAATGCTGTGTAATCTACTAAATAAACGGCCGAATTTTCAATCAACTACACAACTAAATAAAGACTGGCTAAGTTTGACTTCTAATATGTTTAGCAGTCCGTAATACAAAAAGTGAGACTCATCATTGAAAAATCATTCTTATTTCAAATAAGTTGTATTGTTGACTGAACTGACTGATTAATAAAACTAGATATAACAAACAGATGCGTAGAAAAATATAAAAATCGTGCGCATGCTGGCGTGTGTAATAAATGCCAAATGACCGATGATGGGTCGTCTTACGCAATTTTTTCGGATGGAGAACGCCAGGGCACATTGTCTTCTAGCTCGTCCTCGCTCATGTCAGCTTCTGGTTCTTCATCTTGATTGTCCGATGCTATATTTAGACTGCTCGTAACCATATCGGGGACCGGGAGGATCGAAGGCCGACGGCTACCTGAAATTACACATAGAATATGTAGAATATAATTTAAATAAATTATTAATATGCCTATTTAAACAAAACACTAACAGTCGTCACTAAAGTAGTTACCTTGATGTCTACCATGTGAAATAGAGTACTGGCGTTAGAATAGAAAAGGACATTTTTCATATGTTATTGCACATGATGGCACTATATAAATTAAAAATCAGTTTAAATTATTTTAATTTAAAATAGATTTTTTTATTTTGATGTCTGTCATACTATTTTTGCACCTACCTCGTCGTGAATGTAACGTGTCCGGGCTCAAATAGTTATTATCCGTCCTCGGTAACAGCAGGTGGCTATCGGTCGCGCTGTCAGTTGCTGGTGAGTCTTTCATATATGTCCTTGTATCTGAACCGCCGTCTGTATAAATACATGTTATTATTAACAAGTTATTGGAATACATCTAATACTTATGTGAAGTCTTATTTTAGTATTCAAAAACTATCTAAAGAAACTGGTTATCCCTTCGGAATTAATTCCAAGAACAACCAAGTCAGATGAATCCACCACCTAAGATTCCGTCACCTGGGTCATAGATTGTTTTAAATAACAATTAATGGATAATTCCCAACAGTTCCACAGTCAGCGTTCCCAATATGTAAAGCCAATGATATGACTCATATACCAAAGAAAGACTGGCGCAATTGTAAATGTGAAACATGCCAATAAAAAAAAAACAAATCCTGTTAGTTCTTTGACAAAAGCGATCACAACATTTACATTCTGAAAACCTCCTTACGATCGAATACTAGTCATTCCGAATATATAGATATCTGCAATAATGTAAATAGTTATACTTTACAAACTAGTAACGGTTTAAAATACGAAATACATTAGTTTAGTGCGTAGTCATTTAAAAACCAATTAATTAATATATTTCATGTTTTAGACCATTTACATTATTTTGATACACTATAAAAACTTTGACTGTACATTTCTTATCAAACGGTCGGACGGATTTTGATGACTCAAGACCTCTTCAGACTATTTGGTTTTGCAAGTAAAACCGCGGGGCTATCTAGTTATTATTGTTTGTTCGTCTTTCTATTACACAGGCAAATATTTAAAAATTCTCGTTTTAATCCATTAAAGGTGTTTTTTGAAAACAGACATGCATTTCAAATCGAATGGAATTGAATAACAATTTCAAAATGGCCATGGTTAAGGAACAATTGGAGGGTTTTCTTTAGGATCATTTTATTATTTAAGATCATATTATACATTTTAGTGTATCCAAATTTTTTGGACTTATTCTGCTTATAAAGTAAAATAATAAGAACGGAATAAGATTAGATTTAACATCTGTTAAAACAGACATCGGATATAATATTCGATACAAAATTTGGATACACATAGAAAAGGATGTCCGTATACAGAACATCCGTAGCGTTCCAGGTGAAATGACTATTAAGTTTAATTTCACCTGCAACGCGTGCAACATCTAGTTAAGTGAGTGAGCTGCTCTTTGTCCACGCGTGCCAATAGTTCGTTAGTCGCTAGGTGCTTTACAAAAAATTTTGACGACATCGAGCAACTTAAGCAAAAAAATCAAAAGGCAGACCAAATGCTAGCTGTTGAGGCCAGGATATTCGAACACAATGCTGGATGCGAAGACAGCACGATTTAAAAACTATGCACTTTCATTACACGAGTGTTAAATTCATGCGAAAACTAGGAAATAGGTCACAACAAATAACTTAAAGCAGACTAGGACCAAATTTTAGTTGTGATTGTTTCGGGGGTATTCTGGCACTGAAACGGTGTTGCCATTTTTTCTCTATCATTTAGTAAAATATTTATCACGTGACGATATATTTTTTTTTTGCGCATCAAGATTTTTATTTCATTCCTAGTTTAATAAATCAATAATTGTTAATCAAACATGACAATGTTTAATGCCAATCCCGTCTGTGTCGTAACTTTTTTAAGTCTAAATAAATGTATAATTCATATAATACCATCATTTGTAATAACATGTGAAAAATATTAAAGTTTTCAAATATGTACATACAAATGAATTTAATATATTTAAAGTCTTATATAGACTGATATGTTTTTTTTATCTTAATAATTTTTTATTCACAAGATGTTTGTCTTGTACTTATAAAATCAAAATTGCGGAAAAAATATCATACCTTGGAGAAATATAATATTTTCGCTTTTACTTATAAATGTGGATTTGTAATTCTTGTGTTTAACAGTTTGATGGAAATCTAACGAGAGTTAAAATTATTTATTGTGCGACCTATTTAATTAGTGAATGAATTAAAAAATAAGAATCTTCCGACCGTAAACCCTAAATACCCTGGCTCCAAAGAAGCGTCCGAGCCTACTGGTGCTTTATCCGACTGTGGCACTCACAGCTAGCGACAGTTAAATTAGCGGATGATACAGTATTGATGCGTGATGGCGATGCATTTGGTGGGGAACTCGCGGGAGCTTGTAGAACCACTTGTGGGAGGTCGAATTGAGCCGTGTTAGTACCGTCTGCTCTTCGGGGCGGGCAGGCGCCCTCCTCGGCGTCCGCGCCCTTCCTCTCGCTAGATAGGAGGCTACATGCTGTTTGATCTTTGGCTAAGCTCGGTTTGCACTCGGTCTGTTTCTCAGAGACGACGAAAGCGGAATTCTCCTCTTTCGTGATGCTCATGTAATAGCACGTGTCGCTCGCTTTCATTATATGCCTTGGGCCCGGGTTTAGGAGTATCGTCTCTTCGTAGAATTCGGGTAGTTCCGCAGGTCTTACGCCGACCAGCGCGACGCCGTATCTGAAAAGAATACGTTTTACTTGCACGTATAAGCTAACTTACTTAAGAAATTAATAAATTCATTTGACAGTTGGTATTATTTATAGCGCAAGTGGTACATATTCAAATAAAACACTTTTAACGGTTTAAAATGCGAATTTAAGTTGAAATAAATTAAAAATAAGTCTAACTAGCATATTTCGCGTTTTAAAACGTTAAAAGTGTCACACAGTTGGTTTGAACCCACGACTACTATACGTTGCTAATAAAGCATTGAAATAATCCTTTTATTGAAAATTTGGTCTTCAGCAACTCACTTTCTGTGCGAATGAAAGCTCGCGTAAGTAAAACTCTTCCCTTCGTATTCTCCAAAGAACCTGCTGTCTCCAAGCACTATGTGATAGATCTCATTCCCAGAACATTTTCCATACAAACGATGCCATTCTTCCGGGGACTGCTGGCCTTCCCTGGAATTGAGAGAAAATGGCTACGGTTTTATGGATTGTGAGACTTATATATACCTAACGATAAGAGACGTTATATAGGACGTTACAACACATCTTGATGTACAAATTATATTATATGTACAGACAAGCAGAAGAATGACTAATATGTGAAAACAAATATAAACATATTACACAAAAACAACAACCTTTTTTCATTATTTTTTACATGTTATTGCACATGAAGACACTATATAATTTAAAAATCGAAAATAAATTGAAAAAAAATTCCGACTCAGGTAGGACTTGAACCGGCATCGTCAGCGTTCCGTGCTGTTGCTCTACCAAGGCTGACTCGGTAGCTCAATTGGTAGAGCAACAGCACGGAACGCTGACGATGCCGGTTCAAGTCTTGCCCGAGTCGAAAAATTTTTAAGATTTATTTTCGATTTTTAAACCTTTCTTCAATCAACAATACAAGATGTCTGTCACAGTAACTACAATCAGTTCCTTAAAGTGAGTAAATTTAGTACAAATTAAATATTGTCTTATCCCGTAGTACTTACAAACATTTTTCAAACGCCGCCGGTGACCACGGCTGATAAGACCCAAAACGTCCAAAAATCAAGTAATTATTAAAAATATATTATTTCGCATTGCGTGCTAACCGTTATCATTTTAAATCAATTCAGTTCAATAGTATTGTCAGGCATCCATATCATGAGGTCGTAATACAAATAAAATAGAACTTGACTTTATCTGTGTTTGTATTATCGTGTCTTACTACTTTTGTTTGTGTTTTGTTTTGAGATTCAAAGAAGAATAAAAAAGGGATAGATCATTCTCTATTACCTCCAATATTAAGGTCTTGTTTCATAGTGTTTTAGGAAATACTTTTTAAATCAAATAGTCGGTAGTTTACGCGAGTAGTACCTACACATTTAAATAAACCACTTCAACGATTTAAAACGCGATATAAACTAGTTAAACTTATCTAGAAATTATTTTAACTACGGTCCGACGTTTCGGATGCTTTGCAGCCGTGGGCCCGGGGAGCCTAAAGATGGAGGGTGTCTCTAATGTCGAAGTAAATACTGCTACGCTAGCGCCATCTGCATCGTAGTTGGCGAAAGTTTTTTTAATAATTTAAATACTTTTTAGATCGCCAACTGTGATTTATTAAAAACAGTTACTTGAATTATTCTGTGGCACCCAGAATACTCACTGGCCTCGACTTGTATGCAGCAGGAGTGTCACCAGAGTGGATGCTCCTGGGCAGGTGCAATTATTGGCTAACAATGCGTATTTGAATTCGTCTTCGCATACGACGAACTCTGCAAATTTCACGTGCAATTTGTTCTCTGGTCTGAAGATTTGCACGTATTGGGGCACGTCTGGGGCGAAGTCTTTAACTGCCCACGACCTAGTTGAGGAAAGAAACGATCGTTTATATCATTGTTTTGCCGAAGTAAGGAAATAAAATGAATGGCTCAAGTAATGGCTTAAGTAAAAGTAATCAACAAGTCGTGGGTCCAACATGTTTATTTTTTTTTACTTGCTTGTCTGTCCTCCTCTATCATTAAAAGATGGTAGCGTAAAAAGTGCTGGTACCTTAAGATAGTGTGCTCATCAGCAGCGGTCTTATCAGCATAGTTCCTTGCTGCTAGTATGAAGCAGGCTTCGGCTTCATTCATCCTGGCACGAATGAGATCGGTATCCTTGAGACAGGATCCTTGGATATATATCACCCGTTGGGCCCAGATTGGGACCTGGAATGTTTTATAAATTGTAGATTAATGGATGGCTGGTGGATGATTTCTACAGTATCCCGAAGATTAGATTTCCTTTTTGTTACTAGTAATTCATACAGGCTCTTACACTACTGTACTTTCAAGTACCTACTTCACCAGGGAAGATATAAATGATATTTTAAGACATTTTTTATTACGCGGTAAGTAATAAATAACTTATAAATAGAAAAAAATGTCGTAACTACATATTTTTACAAAAAAAAAAACAAGTAAGAAAAACAAAAAACTATGATACATTTGACAATTAACAAAACACAAAATGGCAGCTTTGTGACGTGACAATAAAGTCAAATAAAGGATGTACAGAAGTATAACGCGTTGAAGCAACGCTAACAATGACTGAGTTGAAATGTAAATGCGTTTACAATCAAATGGTGACAGAAATACCTGCAGAATCATTCTCATAGTGGTGTCAAGTTCCATGGGCGATAAAAGAACAACATAATAGTCCTGCAACAGCGGATGCGCGTAGAACTCATTAAGGAAGTCCATTATAGTATCAGCGTGGAGCGTGGTAGAACACACCACGACGTGTCTCTCTGATTGGGCTCGGTGTGACGAGTAAGAACCTCCAAGTTTCTGTCGCTCCATCCATGTGAAAGCTAGTTGTTCGAACTGTAAAATAACAAACAGTTTTTATGTATGTTTTTGACGTACGAACGTAGTTTGATCGTAGGAAACGTTCATACTAATGCCTTTTCAATTCGATACATTGTAATCTACAGAAATAGAATCAGTTAATTCTTAGCCGGGCGGCTCATAGTATTTAGAGAGTTTACTAACTTGCTAAGTTGTTTACAACTTAATGTTATTTACTACTTAATAGTATATAACACTATAGATATATAATCAAGCGCAAATTTTAAATCGGGCTTCATAAAAGCGCTAATCACATAATAATGCATTTAACAAACTAAGTGTTTTGAAAAAGCACTGTACCTGTGTTGGCAGAACGACCAGAGCCACCCCGATCATAATGACCATAAATAGTTGAGAGGGCCAAATGTCTGGGACGAAGTCACCATACCCCACAGTGGAGAAGGTCACCACCACGAAGTAGGTGGCCTGGAATAGGTTGAGGTGACGATGCCCAGCTCTTTGGAAGTGTTGTATTCCGCATACGCTGAAATGTGAAAAATATAATTAGTAACAGACTAATTATATTTTTTATTCCTATTTCCCATTTTTGGGGTGTAAGAGTTTTAATGACTATCTCACATAATTAGTAATGATAACTAGTAACGACGTGCTTAATATGGAGGTATGGACACCCCTTCTCCTACACTGGTTATATAAATTTATTTGAAAAAACATTTCAAGAATCTAACTTAAATTCAGCCTCAGTAAAAAGATACGCGAGAAATACGAATATAGTAATGTTCCTGACTACGAAGAAGAAGATCTTCATGACAACGTCTTTACTTACCTGGTAAACACCAAACACAGTAGAGTAACGCACAAAATCATTAATTGTTGGGAGAGCGCTGACTGAGACTTTTGCATTGCGCGATGTAAGTCGTTCTGTTAAATAGAAAAACTTAATTAGTCAACGAAATATATAAATAGTATTCATATTTTTATTATTTGTGTATTTTTAATCATATAATAATATTTTTTAGTTTAAAAAAAAGGACACACAGCGAGACTTGAACTGACATCCTCAGCATTCCGTGCTACTTTAACCAATGTCTTACTACTAAGTGAAGGAGTTAAAATATCCACGTTTTAACATATTCTTAGGTAGTAGTAATAAAAATACTTACAAACATATTTTCAAGCGACCTCTTTGCTAACCAACAATTGAGGAAAACCGGAATAAACAGATTTCGTAGTGGCGGAAATGGTACCTGGAAAAGTAATTTAAATTAAACGAGAAAAAAAAAAGTTATAAATCTAAGTCGTTTAGCTAACTTTTCATACGCTTGGAAATCACGTTTTTCACATGTCAGAAAAGAATTTAATTCATTTGTTTACGATGTTACGTGCCTTACCAATCATTTAACGTATAAATTTTCTAGACGGTGTCTATGTTTCGAAGTATTATAAAATTTTGAAAATGTCGGACCCGATAAAAACCGGACCCAGGCCTCGTTATTTGTCATGTAACCGACAAGGTCGAATCAAGCTTCTATGTAGCTGAAGTTTTTAACGTCAAGAGCCGTAAAAACTATTAAGTATTGCATCTTAATTTGTTTGTATGTAAATTCCTATAAATACGTACCGTCAGCGCGAATGGTACAGTATTAACCATCTCTAATATAAAGTGGAAGGACAAAATCTGTTGCCAAATATTTCCCTGTAACACAGAAACGAAATACATACAAATATGCAAGCAAATTTTCACTACATACTGCTTATAAATTATGCATTCAAAAATCTTTTCTTATAACAAGGAAGACAGAGAAGCACCGTCTTCAATTAATGGGAGGTAAAAAATAAGATGTACTGTCCACCAATTTTGGCCTTGGACATTTGTAAAACCACAGATTGAAACGGAAACGCAATTAAAAAAGTGTCGTGTGTTCTTGCAATCTTAAAAGATAGTCATACACTGCCGCGGACATTCTTCAGCGCACACAACAGACACTTAAGGAAGACTTCCTCGGTAAAAGGTCAAACCAACACAAATCATTTTCAATTCGAATCAGTAGTTCCTGAGATTAGCGCGTTCAAACAAACAAACTCTTCAGTTTTATAATATTAGTATATATCTTAGAAATACCTTATATCCAAGATACGCTTGCAAAATTGCTTCAGCGAGGGAGATCATTGCCAGCACGACTTGGACCAGCCAGAGATAGAGGGGTCGGTGCACCCACACGATTCCGTCCCAGTTAATAATTGGGTGTTCTTGAAATTCCTCTTCTGTCAAATTCGCGGAGAATTCGAACTCACTCTTGTTTCCCGGCTTACATCCGTAACTGTGGGATTAGTAGTTAATGTAATACGGCCTTCGTTCCATGCTAAAAGTCATACCGAGATCCGGGTTTGAATCCCGGGCAAACAAACATTGTTACGATCACTAAAGTGGTATACTGTGTGTCTGTCCCATGCTCCACAGGGGGAAATAGGATTCCTATCCCCCCCCTCCCTCTACTTACCAAGTAGCATTAATAGGATCGCCGTCAGCGCAAACGCGGAATATGTACAGAAGGCATGCCAAAATCTTGAAAAATAGGTTTACTATCCTAATGCGTAAACCTGGAAAGAAGTTATATATTATTTTAACATTAATTAATTAATGAAAGTTGTTTTCGAGGGTTCGACGCCTAGGTACTTGTTTCATATATTTTTAATACTAGGTCTACCTATTGTCTATATATGTATGTCATGCCTCCGACGAGATTCGACCTCATTGTATTCTGGTTAAGGATGCAGTCATTACATTAGTTTTCTTAAGGTTAATCTACAATAAAGTAACATTGAAATAATGGGTTAAGTGTTATTGTAAATACGAGATATTTTTCAGGGTCACTTAGTTAGACTAAATCTCGTTTTAGGGATCAGTACCTAAAGGGGAAATAAATACTATTAATACACTATCGGTCTGTTCTTCAGACCTCGTATCAAGGATCGCGATACCTAAGACTGAAAGTTTGACACATTATGTAAGCTGTGTCACGAAAATACAAAAAACAAAATAATAATTTCTACAACAACAATTACAACTTAAAATATTCACAAAGTAGTTGTATTTTGACTTTATTAATATATACTTCTCGCATGTGGTGATATTTAATTTACATTATTTTACCATGTGTTGAGTTAGCTTTATCGTGAGTAATATTAGCTGAACGAAGGCCGTATTGAGTCATTTAATTAAGCCCCAAATGGCAGTAAACATCGTTCACGTTATTTGAACTTAGGTGCGTGGTTCTGCGAACATATTGTCCTACCATTACAAACGCGAAAGTTTAGAGTGTGTATGAATGTTTGTTTACTTTCACACACCAATGACTTCACAGATTTTGATAATATCCAAAAGACTATTTAAACGAATTTTCATTAGTATGTGTACATAAAAAAAACACGGTTTAAAACGCGATATATTTTAGTTTAACTTATTTGAATTATTTAAACTACGGTCCGTAGTCATGGGAGGGTGTATTCATGACCACGGCTGCTGTAAAGCATAATTATCAAATAAGTTTAACTAATGTATATCGCGTTTTAAACCGTTAAAGTGCTTTATTTAAATGTATACTACTCGCGTAAACTACAGACAGTATTTAGTATATGTACAGTTCGAGTCCCCACTTAGTAAGCGCCTCGAGCCGTCTCTCCCCGCTCGCCCCTAACGAATGGCGCTTATGAAGAATTATATGATACTAGCTGTGCCCGCGACTTCGTTCGCGTGGAATAGTGAGTGGTGGTTCGCGTGGGGTAGAATTTTTAATTATTTAGGTCGTTTATTAATTTATGTAATTGCGCATTTATCGCAGCCAATCTATGTTGCAAGCACTTTGCCGCAACACTCTCACCTCACATCACTCCTACTCTAACTCTCACTCCCACTCCTATTCCCAAACAGCCAAAGAAGAAAGTTTCATTGTTCTAGTTTCAATAATCACGAATTTCCATACCTTTACAACCACTTTTTCGTAATAAAAAGAAGCCTATGTTCTTTCTCAGGGTCTGGCCCATCTATATACCAAATTTCATTCAAATCCGTTCAGTAGTTTTGGCGTGAAAGAGTAACAGACAGACAGACGGAGTTAATTTCGCATTTATAATATTAGTAAGGATTTGCAACCGGATCGCAGCGACCTACATTACACAATTAATCGGCCGCGGCGATAATTAAAATTACGCGATCGATGCGACTTAACACGTACATATTACATGAATTCAATAATTAATGCATCGCGCGCAGCATACGCTGTCAATTCAATCAAGTGTACTTCTATTAAACTGTTTCAGAGCACTCCTGAGGGTGAATTATTAATTCCCCGTATTAAACCAATTTATTTACCACCGACACTTGTACAGCTGGAGAGTAAGTATGCTTGAACGCGCAATTTCTTGTTCTGATCCGGCGTTGTTTTGCCGTGTAAATATCTAGCAGAACGACCTTATTGTAACTGTACATGGATGTTGTGATTTAAGAGTCTTAAGGGGGAATCAACCAGGCTCTGTGCACTGTAAAAATAAACAAAAGAAGTGTACTTTTTACTTTTTTAATATTTATTTTTAAGTTTTTTTGACATATAAAATCTAACATATCAATTTTTTAATTATGTTTTTTTTATCATTTTACAACTGAGTTGCAAGCGGCGCGTATACTATAAGTAGGTTTTAACAAAGTGCAAACATCGTTCCCAAGAAAATCTCCTTTGATTAAAAATCTGCTTAATTTTAACAAAACGCCAGCATTGAATATTGACACTTCAAATAAAAACCCCTTAGCTGTCATTGTGTAAGTGCCCTTGTTTTTTTTACTCGATATCATTAATTAAAGGTTGGAAGACGAAAAAGGGCTTTTGGAATATAAATATATTTTAACTTGGATTGAGTAGTTCAAAAACTAAGAGGTTAATGTTTCAAGTCCTGCGCATGTCGTGAAATCGAAATAAAATCAACTCCTAGCTATTAGACCGACTGACGCACAGTCTAGCAGCGGAGCAGCAACAAAGTCTTTGTATTATAGTTCTATTTCTCTTTGTTTACCGAGAGCCTAAAAAGCCTAAAATAACTTTCTACATGCTTTACTATTTTTTTACATTGAACTTCACTGTATATATTGTTATGGAAACAATTACTTTTTTGAAATACTGTGCAACGTCGGAGCCGTTAGTACGAAATCTAATGTCAATAAGTGAGGAGTACTTACTGGAACGTTGGTTCTTTATAAAGTATAGTTGCAGTCTTTCTTTGAATGTATTTTCGTTGACGTAGTACTCCACACGGACCCTGAAACAAAAGTACATAAGCAATTGACTATGTGAACTGTAAATAGAATTCGGAACAGACCCCGTAGTCGTAGTTCGAATTCGGAAGAAACGGAATAAGTTATTTCGAATCCATGAAAATATATAAAGCTGGAGTTTGTTTGATTGAACGCGCTATTCTCAGGAGCTACTGGTTTGCATTGATTGTTTTTTTTTTTGTGTTGGTTAGAGCGGTAACACGAATAGGAACGCAGAAACAGCGGGAAATGTAAAAAAAAAACGTGGAAATATATTAATCCTAATAGGTTTCCGTTGCGTTCGGCACGAAAACCGTGCAAGATACGCAATAAAAAATAGGATAAAATAATTATTCCTATTTAAAAGGTCTAAAAAAAATGTCCCCTACAGTTTGTTTAAGTTTTAAAAATAACTTGCACTACAACGACGGGACGCAGACAACCGTGGTAAGCTATAATTTTAAAGATGTGGAGGAGGTTTTCAAAAACAATTTTGAAACACTGTCTTACATTCAATTGTTTTTAAATCTGCTAAGCGATCTTAAATGATATCCAAATCAAATTTCGTCTATGAGAAGCATGGGGATAGAAATATTTCCCTACCTGTTACACAAATCGATTTTATCATCAAGCATCTAGGTGACCAGTCTCTGTGGTCTGCTGGTAACATTATATTTTGCCCATATACCCGTGAGCATCGGCACTTAATGCAATTTTAGGCAACGTGATTTACAACTCATTATAAGGTATATCATATACATGATTTTTAATTCGTTCAGTCTTCATACAGATCGCCATTTGACGGATTCGTTAGTCTAATGGTAGTAATGTATAGCTGAGTACGGATCATCAATTCGATCTTCACCGGGTCCAATTGTTTTACATCTATTTATAGGTTTTTGAAATATGTTTAACTTTTAATTTAAGCAGCCGTGGTCACGGGGAGACCCCTATGACCCTCCCCGGTCTCCCCATGACCACGGCTGCTGCAAAGCATCCGAAACGTCGGGCCGAAGTTAAAAATCATTTTCAAATAAGTTTAACTAATATATCGCGTTTTAAACCGTTAAAGTGTTTTATTTAAATGTGTACTACTCGCGTAAACTATAGACAGTATTTATGTTTAACTTTGTCAAAAATCTGGATATGAAATGGGTGGTAGGGAGTTTGAAAATTCCGTCCGTCATGAATCACCGTTCATGTTTAGATGTTACAACGCTGGAGTGTTTCACCTTCCATCAACTCCATACTTGTCTATCCTCTGTAATAAAAAAAAAGGGTTCACTTAATGGAATGTGAAATAAAACAGCCAATCCAACAAACATCAGCAACATCTAAACAAGATGCGCTGTCGACTTATTTACACACAAGGCAAAACTAAAGATCCGGTTAGTTTGAACGATACGTAGCTAACAACCGCCAAATCCATGATAAAAAATGTTAGGGCTTCGGATACTCGGATTTTAAATTCTAAATCACTCTTAGGTAATGTATCGATCACGCCTTTAAATAAATAGTATAGATCTTCAGATCATCCTAAAAGCGACTTGTACCCGTTTTAAGCTCACGCGTACATAACCGGCTTATGTTTAATCCGCTTACAACATTAAAGGCTTTTAACATGTATGTTATTTATGTTCAGTTAATATCAGCGAGGTGACTGTGCCCTTTGAACGAAGTCATAATCCTGCTATTATGAATCCACTTCTAGGAAATGTGACACGAATATCTGCCTTCAAATAAAATCTATCTTTTTAAGACACGTTTCATCCTCGCAAAGAATAACGCAGAAAGATTTATAAATGTTTCTTTTTGTTACAGTTTTTTTTTAATTGCGCAGGAAGGTGGATGATGTTATACATCTTAACACGATGCGCTGTATTTTGTTTGATACGTTCGGAAACCCGCTTCCTGAAATCGAAACACGGTAAGTGACTTAAACGGAAATTTTATCTCGCTACCACTCATGCTATAACCAGATTTTCCAGACGAAGTGATGTTTCTAAAAAATTTAAAATTGTTGCTACCATTTCACTAACGATCCTGTCAAAAAGCTTATTTTCAAAGATAAGGAGAGTTACGTAATAGTTGTATTTAGGTTATATCGGACACATGTCAACTGTCAAGTATATAAAACATGGCTGACACTTAAAAGCGGCAGATATGAAAACAACATGAACTCAAGTTTCGAAAATTATAAAGCACAAAGGGAATTGCAAATAGCAGGCCGAGTGGGCACGTTGAATAGATTAAACCGGGATAGCCCGGATTGTGGAGATTGGACCTAATCCGTGTTTTGATATGGCAACATATCTGAAGCGAATTTTGGATTGCTGAAGTTTATTGGACTTGTAATTGAAAGGTATATATGTAATGCCTCAAATATGAGATCGTGGTTTCCTCTAGAAGACAAAAAATAATTTATACAAGTAGATACACTTATGAACATCACGTCATTACTACCACTTCTCAAATCAACAAGGAGAAAGAAGCACACAAGGAATGAGAAGAACTGTCAAAAACCTTTTATTGACAAGTTTCCTTTAGATCCTCCACGTAATTTAAGTTCAAGTACTACATCTTTTTTCTTTTTAGAGCGGGTTCTTCTAATTCCTAAGCATTTTTGTCGTTGAAATATTAATTAACGTCACTATTACCATTTCCAAGCAGTTCTTGTTTTATACACGATTTAAACTTGTATTTCACTGGGGATTTCATTAAATATCACATATACATACCATTTAAGAGTAATACATAATTCTGTAGCCATTACTGTAATCTATTTGTTTATGGATAGTTATTTATGATTCCACCTCGGAGCTTAAGGCTAATATAAGCTAGGTACCACGTTTAACAACTTACCCAAGAATGTAGTTATCACGTTCGTAACGTCTATGTAGTTTCTACATCAAAAAAGGTTTCACGTACTGAAGATTTTTTACATTGTACGACATAAAACCTCTTTGTTAAGCAATTGACACGAAAAACAAAGCAGTAACTTGACAGTAACGTAGTGGTGACGTGTAAGAGGTCACACCCCTGGGGACTGGAGAAATAGGGTTGCCAGCTTTAAATTTTTGGCGACATTTTTCATTGTCATTGTAGTACGTATAAAACTTATTCAGTTAAGGAAACATCTTGCATTCAACTAGGTTTTACGCTCGGTTTCCCATGGTCATTTTAATAATGGTTTAAAACAACTGTTATAATTATGACAAAAATTAAAACTTTCCTTAGTTTTGATTTTGAGTTTAAGGGAAACTTGTGTGGAATCTGTTTCGACAAAAGCGGTCAGCTATTCAAATAAAACATTGTCTATAGATTTTTTCGTTAAACATATAAATCGAAAAATTTTCAACTACGGTATTGGTATCGACTATAACTATATATATTTTTTTGGTGTTACGTGATGAAAATTACACCTTAATATGCCTTCGTAAACCATAACTTTAAAAAGACATTCACATAAATATTCGCCACATGTTATACAAACATTGTGTACAAAGTTACTACCTAATTCTCTTTACTATAATTTTCCCCTTCCGTCCCTAATATTTCAGTAATTGGTTTAATTTTACGGCAGTGGTCGAATGTATTCTACAAGTACTGTAAAGATTCGAGATTCCTGTAATGCAACACATGTGTTATAAACTTAAGATCCGTCCGGTGATTGACGTTATCATCGAATTCATCCTGAGGACATTCCGATCAATACATGCTGACTGCGCATTTACTCTTACTTTTTAGTATATCGCGTAGCGCCAGAAATGGTTACGGGAAGATTTTAGTACGATTTTCAATGAAGAAATAGTATAAAGGCAACATTGGAATTAGTTTTATCGCAGATTAAGTCCCAATTATATCCTAGATTTAGAACTCATTATTTGTTTTTGTATTTATTGTTTACAGTAAATTACTTTAGTGATATAAAAGTAATTTAACTCTAGTCTATATGAGCTGTAAAATATAACGCTTTTATAGGTTTACTAGCGGCCCTGTCCCGTCTTCGCACGGGTAGACATAAATAAGGACAGATATTTAAATTATAAGCATGCTTATTAAAACGCCCATGAATCAATAATTAGAAAAAAATTGTATTGCGCGTCCTCGCTGTTAACGACCGTGGTCTATCTCGCTGTGTCAGGAGCCGCTGCGAGCGTTCAGTGTTTGCGAATTCCTAGCTCTATTTCTTGGAATCTTGCATTTTGTTCTGCAAGACGAACGTGAACATTCGACTATAGATTCTCTGGCTCGCGATTGGGACGCGTACACTCTAATACTTTCCAGACGATCATTTTAGGAAGAAGACTCTCCAATACGACGAACTTATGCTAATCTCGCTTGGGAACAATTATTAGATAGCTGCGACCTTCTTCTTCTAGGCATGTTTCTTTGAAGGATTTTTATTTTAAATCAGAGAAATTAAGAATAAACTAATAAAAATACGAAAGAAAATATTCAAGTTCAAAGTGATACTAAAACTAAGTAGTTTTGAAAAGAACTTTTTAAGTGAAGCATAAAAATGTTTTACTAAATTTATTTTATAACGTCAAATCGTGGTTAAAATAAATAAATATAAAATTACCTAATACATTCTGCGTTTTAAACATTTAAATCTGTTAACTTGGACATTTATGTTAACTATCCCGAAAATCATCGGTGAAACCTACACTATCTATTATGTTATAAAGAAATCATAAAATTCTTATAGAATAAAAAGAAAGGAAGAAAAGATTCAATTTTATTTATTAAATATTTACGATTTACGACAGCTAGGCTGAAACTAAGTTGTATATTTATGGCCGGTGAAGTTGCGTTACTTTTATCTGTATGTCTAAAACATCGGTTACACAAAATAGTAGTAACACTTTAATAACAAACAAACATAAAACGATGTTCTTCGTCTTCCATTTAGCTTGAATCTGGAACTTGCAAAGAAATCGTGAAAGAGAGGTATTAACTATTAAATAAGTTATAATTTTTAAAAGCCATATGTACGGGAATA